AAGTGATCATCTTAGTCTGTTAATTGATGGGGCTGACTCCAACAGTCAAGAGTTTTGTGGCACTTTAAAGACTGGTAATTTTAGTTCCTGAGCATTGAAATAAATTTGGTAGCCTTTAATATGCTACAGGTCTCTCTGTTCTTTAAAAAGGTCATGATTCTGTTTATTCCAGGAATGAAGTAAATTCTCAGTTGCTCAGAGACCATTAAATATGTCTTCTATATTTTGTTGACCTGCCTTTTGAGTATCAAATCAACGGTGCTTTCTGAGAGGTTGCCCAAGTGACATTAAAGCCATGCAAACAGTTTCTATAGCAACAGGCTCCCTTATCTTTGACGCAGTCTGTGTTTCCCTTCATTTAGGTTTTATCTTTTCTTTCTTTCTTTCTTTCTTGCTGTGATTCTTGCTTTTATCCAGCATAACTTCCCTTGACTATGATTAATCATGTTCCACCATCAGCATCTTCTACACCTTTCAACTCAAAAGGACAGAAACCTGATATGATTTCTGGGTGTGGAGATTCCACATCCCTTTAATTATGGGTTAAAAGAGATTGTGCCCATACAAGATTTAAACTTGGATTTAAAAAAATCAGCCTAGAACTTGGGATTCTTAAAAAAGTTTTTTTGTGGCTTAGGAGCAATCCGTTGGCCTAGATGTGACACCTGTTTTGTCATATATGCAACGTCTTCTACTTGTCTATCAGACTTAGAGATATACATAAGTAAATCTCCTGTGAGTCAATTTGTGCCTACAGAGAAATAAAATTATAAATTTGAATTGTAAAATAAATTATAAATATAGCTTAACTGCAATTAAAGGCAAAAGACTAAATCTGTGATAATTTGGTCAATCATAAATTTATGTAAGATGAGCCCAATTTTCTTTAATGACAGTAGCAACAATATACAAAATGATCATCTTCCTAGACCAACATCTGTTCAGATCATATTGGTAGAAATGGCAAAAGAAAATTAAGTAATCATATAGAGACACAAACCTTGCTGACGGAAAGTCAGCTTGATTCTGCAAAATAAATCCTGCCCTGCCAATTTCCTATTATTATTTTTTTTGAGAATGTCAGCTGGCACCTGGATGGAGAAGATCCCATTGATCATATGGACTTGGGTTTTCTGGAAGATGTTCATTAAGTTCTTCCTCAAGGATCTTGAGTAAATATAATAGTTGTGGTATGAGAAACTTTTGTCTTTCTATGGATGGCACTCTGGTTAAAATAGAAAGCAATGCATACATGGGCAATTTTATGGGAAATATGAAGCAATTTGTCTGAAAGTTGTGTTTGGACCAGTGCTTTTTAATTTGTTCATACATGTTCTTGATTTAGGGATAAGCAGTAAGCTTGGAATTATTGTTCATAATATTAGGAAGGTGATGATGTAGTGTATAACAGCTGTGAAAGGGCCTTTTTGTGTTGAGGATTATTAGGAAAGGAATTGAAAATAAAAATGCCAACACTATAATGTCCCTTTACAAGTTTGAGAAGATGCATTTGGAGTGCTACCTACAGTTCTGTTCACCAGATTTGAAAAAGAATATGGAACAACTGAAGAAAAGCACCTCAAAGGATAGAAAGATTGAAACACCTTGTAAAAAAAAGGTGGAATGTTTGTAATTCTTTAGCTTAGAAAATGACAATGGAGAGAATTTTTTCTTCCTCCCTTAAATCAAAGGACCAGGGGTTCTTTGACGCTGATGGGAAGGTACCCTAAAGGAGACCAAACAAACCCATCTTATTACTGTGGAATTTATTACCAAAAGATGTGGAGATGGTTGCTAATTTGGAGGGCTTTGAAATGAGGGTGGATAAATTCTTGGAAGGCTGATTCATCTAGAGTTTTAATTCTTTGATTCAATGTTATCTTGAGGTTGGGGGCAGAATAATGGGGGAAAGATATGTCTCAGTCTCCTCCTTCAGCACACCAGAGGCATCTGCATGGCCATTGTGAAAAATAAATTGTTGGGACTGGTCTTGTCCTGGCCAGCAGTGTTATATTTTTATGTTGTTTATCCTCACAAAAACTACTATATGAGGTAGGCTGGAGAGAGAATGATTAGCCCAAAGATACCTAGAGAACTTTGCAGGTAAGTAGGGACTTGATGTGGATCTCCTTAGAACAAGCTCAACATGAATACCTTAACTACCTATGCCACACAGGGTCCTATATCATTTTTTGGGTGATTTGAAATGTTTTTACTGTTTTGTTTTTTACAATATAGATGAATATCAACTCTTTTTAAAATTTGGTATAGAGACTCATAGCAAAGGGTAATGGAACTGCTCTGCTGACTTCTACTCAGAAGTGTAAAGCTAATTGAATTCAGTGGGATTAATGCTCATGGAAGTGTGTTATAGTTGTAGCAGCTGTGATCCTAAATATCAGCCTTCCTCCTACCAAATGCTGCATAATCATCCAGCCAACATAGATAAGAAAACTGCCTGGATGTAGTCAACCAGGAGTCAAACCTGACTTAAGGGGGTATTTACTATTTAGGGACAAAATGTTTTATTATCTAAAGCCTATGAAACTTTTCCATGGTAGCCTCATTCTTGAAACAAAGCCTTTGGCATGCCTAATGTGCCCCTTGCATTGACAACTTTGTCTTTTCTTCATAGTTGAAAGAGGCATTTACAAAAACCTAGAAATGTGACATTACAGTGAGAATAAATAGGTGAATACAGATTGCATTATTCTGGGAAGCAAATCTAAAAATTAGTAGAGCTACTTGGTGGGTTGGGTGAGCTGATCGAAATAATTCCACCTTACATGTGCCATTGGAATAATAGATGCATATCCTAGACTAGATTTTTTTTTTAATCCCAAGAAACCAGATTATTGCTGGGTGGCATGCAACCCACGACTTGAATGGCGTCTCTCCTGAGATTAGTGGTTGCCTCACACCTTCTGTTGCCTGGGCTGAACTTAGGAGGGGAACTTGTTAATACACAGAGATTTTGGTGGAGGCAAATGAATTATGGGAAGGGAAGTGCTGAAAAGCCAACTGAGTCACAGCTGCTCTTCTGAGCCTTTTTGTTGGAACAATATTTTATTTTTCCTCTCCCCCCCCTTCCACATCCCCTATTTACATGCCTGGGTTCCTTAAGACCCTGCCAATGATGGACAGTACGTAACAAAACAGTAGTGTGCCTCTAAACTCCGGTTGTCAGGGATACCTACGTCTGTCTGGCAGCACACAGGAAATTAAAACCACCCCTGATAGCATATCTCGCCTGGCCTAAAGGGCAGTTCATTGGTATATGTGCCTGTGTTCATAACTGGAAGGGATGCATCTCAGCAGAAGCTAGAAAAGGGAAAGTGGCTGGCATGGATGTTGATTTTTTATTTTATTTTAGCTTTTTGGTCACCTGAAGATGAGAAGGGAGGTTTTCATGGCATCAAATCCCTTGTCTTTATTCAGATCAATTTTTGAAAATATCTAAAAGTGTGAAAAAAATATAACATGAGATTAAGTTACACTTTTATTTATAGTCTTCCTTTCTATTCCCTTTTCTTTTTTATCCCAACTGCCTTCCCATAATTCATTTGCCTCCACCAAAATCTCTGTGTATTAACAAGTTCTCCTCCTAAGTTCAGCCCAGGCAACAGAATGTATGAGGCAACCAGGAGAAATGCCGTTCAAGTCTTGGGTTACATGCAACCCAGCAATTATCTGGGTTCTTGGGATTAAAAAAAATATGATTACCATATTAACCAGTTTTCCAGGTTGCTGTTTGTATCAGTTTCCACAATAAACTTGTGAGATAGGTTATGATTGTTCACATTTTTAATAGAAGAGAATGGATACAGAGATATCTTTACATTACAGTCAACAGATTGCAAAGTTAAATTTAATGATCCATGTGTTAAGTCTGGGTTCACATACTAAGCCATTTAGTTATTAGTTTGGACCAAATGAATTTCATACGATCTCAGTCATTATAACTTAACCTGAAATTATGGTTAACCGTGGTTTTCTTTGCACGTGGTTTGACTAACTCCAGGGCCAGTTTGGCTACTATAAATTAAATCTAGACACTTTAGAATTTGAGAATAAAAGCAGCCAGTTCAAAGACTAAATCCTGCACCAGTTGGGAAAAATATTTCTGCTACAGAATTACTGATGCATAGGATATGTATCATCATAAGGTCTTGCTCTTAAAAACAAATATACCGGTAAATATAAAATGGCAAATTTATTTTATTAGATGCATACAGTGTTTTTTAAATGTTTCTATATACATATGACCTGAAATGTGACCTATTCTCCACACAAGTCTTGAAACTGGATGAAGAGACCCAAGTAAACCAATAAGTCAATAAACATTGTTCATTTATTTATTGAGGAAAATGATACAAAGCTACATATTTGTGGACATATATATATACAGAAATGTTGGATATTCAAAAAGGTTTACAAATTTAAGCAAGACTGTAAAACTGTGTATGTTTGTGTATATCCCACCACAATTTGGAGGTGGTAGAATTTTAAAGAAGCTGGTCCAAGGAAATGGAAATGTCTGAAACGTAGTTAAATTTGCAGATAAGACAAACTAGATGTTCTATGTGTAAAAGAACAAACCATCTTGCATCACCAATATTATTTTTTTTTAAAAACAATAACAATAAGAAAACAATGGAAGAACATTTAAACTGCCCAGGATATTGTATCACTGATGCTCAAGTGTCACTGTGAACAAGGGAGCTTCAAAGCAGCTTTAAACAGTCATTGGGGATAAGAATGAATGAGTACCACTTCAAAACTGCTCTGAGAATGTTGGTTCTCCGTAATGTAACCAACATTGTAATGTGGATGATGAATTTGTACTTTATATTTTAAATTTTGTTGATTTCCCATGTTTAATGTACACCGCTTTGAAATCCAGTTTTTGGATAATGGTGTAATTTATACATTCAAATAAAGCAACGTAGAAGGAAAGCAGCAAGTAATAGTTACATTGTATGTGCCTGTCTTGATTTCAGATGTACTCAATGATGCCATATTTGATGAAGACCACGATGAGATGGTGATTGTGAAGGATATAGATATGTTTTCAATGTGTGAGCATCACCTGGTTCCATTTATTGGAAAGGTAAACTTTTAATTTCTTTTTCTCTGCTATAAAGTAGTATCAATAAGCCAATCATTGTTAAATGCTTGATTTGATTTAAAACTATGTGGGACAACTTTTGCAAATAATCAAAAATGTTTTTAAAGAAAATACATGTTGCGTACAGAGCAACCAAGCCAGATGTTAGGCCATCAAACAAGGTATAAAATGCAAGGTGCGTAAAAGAAGCCCAACTGTTAACATCACAAGCTGATGTTTCAAACTGCAGCTTTTGGGGAGTCATGAATAGGCAACCCAGTCCATAATTTATTTGTTGCTATTCAATTTTTAAATATGTTTCAGATATATTTATATGAAATAAATATCTTTATTTTATAAAGGAACAGGTGTTCACAGTATTTAGTGCATCATCTCTCCAAATACCCTAATCAGTTGTCAAAGCTCTGTACCGTGACTGAAATGACGTCAAAGGATTATTTACTACTCCATTCAGGCAGTAAAACGTTTTAAGCATATATGCTACACAGTTTAATAAATAGAGAATCCCACTTAAAACCAAGAATGGATATGTAATGCTTCTTTCCTTTGTCCATTTGTTATGTCTGGGTTTTTGTAGAATAAATGCAGATCGAGTGTTTTGTGTTTTGGTCATTTTGATTGTATCCTGTGAGTCAAAGAAGGGGGAGTCACAGCTGTTGAGAACAAAGGCTGAATGAATTAGTTAAAAAAATTGATGTCACTTTGTTTGCTCCTCTGGAACAGTCATTTTATAGATCATTACTCAGTGCTAATAGCTACCCTCGTCTTTGCTTTATCTCAGTATCTGCTCTTCTCATTCAACTTCGCATTTAACTGCCTGCCTGCCTATTCAGTGCAAGTGGGAAGATTTAGTAATGCTGGATTTCTTTTGTTCTTTCAACAAGTAAAAATAAAGTAGAATTGGAGCTGGAAGAATCACATGATCTGGCACTAAAATAATGGCAATCCAATCATATTTATTTTCTTAATAAAGAAAAGTACAGTGATCATAAACAATAATTCCAAACTGATAGAACGATACTTTTATTGAACTGATTGAAGTGGGAATGAGAGCTGCATATGGCAGGAATAACTTAAAATGGATGGATGGATTTTTTTATTTTTCAGATTTTGGCTTGCATGTTCGTAGCAAAGCCAGCCCATAATCATTTACAATTTTAATTTGCCTATAATACTTTTAGTTAAAATAAGCAAACATATGAATCATGTAGCAAAATAAATGTTACAATAAAATGTTCCATCATAATATTAAAACAGCTTTTAGTACATGATGTAATATGGGCTTAAGCAAGTAAAAACCAGCTTATGAAAGTAAATTTTCAGGTTGTATTTCAAAGACATCAGAGAGTGTGAAAGACTAACCTACGGGGAGAGAATTCCATGGCACTGGATCGGATACAACTTAGATGATTCCAGCTCACTCTTGGTGGATGGGAATAACTCCCAGTTGGTGATATTGGAAATGTTAAAAGAAGTATTTTGAAACTGAGCCAGGGTGATTTTATTTTCTTCCAGGGAGAGACACTACATAGAAGCCAGGCCACCGGGCAAGGCATGATGCTGCTGCTGAAATGCTGAAATGTGTTCAGTGATGCCATTGTGCAAATGCTGACCTTATATATTTGTGTCCCTTATTTATTTATTTGATTACATAAGTGGGGTCCTTGGTGCTCTCTGAATTTGATTGTTTTTTGCAGACATTTCATTACCAAATTAGGTAACATTGTCAGTGCTAGTAGTGAGTGTGATTTGCTCTTATTTTATATATTAACTAGCGGCTGCTCTAGTATACTGTATAAAATGAGAGCAAACCCCCACTTCCTACTAACACATTGCCTAGTATGGTAATATAGCATCTGCAAGAAAACAACCAATCTCAGAGGGGACCAAGGCCCCTACAGTTCAAATCTGAGCTACAAATATTCTCTTCTCTTGATTAGATAAGTTGCAGCATTTCCATGGAAAATTTATGCATCTGTTGTTGTTTGCTCTTGATACTTACAATGGCACTGCCTTCTGGCCCCACTGTAACTTCCAAGTATCCTTCAGAAGCATATTTCACACAAAAGTGCATTACAATAATGTAATCTATTCAGGAGGTAACCAATGCTTGGATTATAAAGGCCTATCAAAACAGGGGCAAAGCTGGTAAATGCCCCTCACCGCCACACTTACCTGAGCACTCAGAGGGAATGTAGAGTTGACAACCCCCCCACCCCCCACCCCATTTGTGTGTCTGGGGAGTGCAACTCTGTCCAGGGCAGGCAAAAATCCTTTGTGATCAGCCACCATCAACACTGGTCAGCAATCCTTGAAAAGTAAGTTCAATAACATGGGTGTGGCTTAGTTAAGAGGTGTGTTTGTATAAGAAAACAAGAAGAGATACTGCCATAAATGAATGGGTGCTGAATGAACATGGATTAAATATAAAAGTAGTAAGAAATACAAAAATATATTGAATGAATTTGATCACAAAGCAGATATATGAAAAAAAAACTGAATTTGCTAAGAGGAAAGAAAAGACTATAGTTGGATGGAACTGAGGAAAACCTGAATAAGAGCGAAGTGAGAAATGTAAAGAACAAAGGGGAAGACTGGTAGTCCTTGCTTAACAATAGTAATGCCACACTAAGTGACAAGGTTGTAAAACGCAATGTCATGTGACCGCACTGACTTACAACTGCAGTTATGCTTTGGGTAAATTCGGCTATTGGGTGAATCCCATGCAGTCACAGTGTCCTGAGTTGACATGATCACAATTTGTACCTTCTGTTGTCTTCCCTGATGACTTTGCTTGTCATAAGCCTGCAATGAAGGTCACAAATGACGATCACATGACAGTGGGACACTGCGACCATCGTAATTGCAAGTCGGTTGCCAAGCGCCTAAATCATGTGAACGCAGGGATGTTGCAACAGCCACGACTACAAGTCTCCTTGTTCAGCACTGGCATGACTTCAAACGGTTGCTGAATGAGTGGTCATTGAATGAGGATTACCTGTATATGAATGTGGGTATGGAGTGTGATGGAAACAAGGATGTTTTGTGAGTCTAGATGTGTGAGGCTAGAGGTATTGTGAATGATGCTGATATAAATTAGATTTCCTTTCCTCTTTTCTTCTTGCTTTAGCTTCTTTTTCTTACCACTTCTTAATCTTTTTCTGCAATTTGCATAATGTTTACCTTTAAAAGTATTAGATTAGCATGTATTTATATATGTATACAGGAAATTTTGTGGAATGCAAGCTTTAGAATTTCAACTAATCTTCGTCAGAGAAGCTGGCTAGAAAAAAGGAAGAGGGAAAGAAAAATGTAACTGATGTCAGAGTCCAGTCTGTATTTGAGTACATTATTAGAAGGGAGTCCTTTCAAACACGCAAACTGAATCTTATCTGGTGCAGAATAATGTTATGTTATGTGCTATGTTATGTTATATATTACGTTACATATGATGTCATGTTATTGTTATGTCATGTTTTATGTTATGTTATTCTATGCTAGGGGCTGTCCTAAAATTTCCTGAAAAGAAAAAATACAAATAAATGTATTGCTTCTATGCATTTTGGATATACTGATATGTTCATTTTAATTTAATTCAGGTTTAAAAAGGTTTACAGGTTCAGGTTTATAAAGACCTGAAGCTTCAGGAAATTGACAAATGAGAAACAAGGGTGGATTGAAATCAAAGTCCAAGTTGCTTGTTGGACTCTATAGGCATTTAGTGAATGAGTGGGACATGTTGAGGTCAAGGCTTTCTGACATCCACAGCAAACTCTCCAAGCACAATGTCCACCTTTCTTTAGCAAGAGCCCTGTCAGTTTGCTTCTTGTTCTGATCACCTTGCACTAGTCTGGATTTCTCTCCTAATAGTTTCTGACATTTCATTTCAAAGCCTTTGTATAATACCCCTGGTGGCACGCCTTGCGGGCAGAGATCTCTGTATTAAATTTGATCATCACAGACATAAACTTTGACTTCTTCTGGGTCACAAGAGACCTATTTGAAAATGCCCTTGGCCTGTTGCAGCACAGTAAGAACAGTTTTTCTACTTACCTTTACTTTCTCCATTTCTCCTCTCCATTCCTTTCAAAGGGGAATCCTTTCAAATCCATGTAGCCTAGCTAGGCAAAATTCTGAATGCTGACACTGTGTGATAGAATCGACTCAGAGTCCCTTCCCCACTTGTTACTAAAAGTACTGATTAAAAAGTATTTACTTTCAAACCAGGAGAAGCTAGTTGTTAAATGGTCAAGGGCCACCTTGGATGGAACAGTGATAGGTCAAGCTTTTTGGAGGAGAGTTTTGGAGACTGGCTTTAAAAATTATGCTTGGCTTATTTTATAGTTTCCTCTATAGCAATAGGATAGGATAGGATAGGATAGGATAGGATAGGATAGGATAGGATAGGATAGGATAGAATAGAATAGAATAGAATAGAATAGAATAGAATAGAATAGAATAGAGCTGGAAGGGACCTTGGAGGTCTTCTAATCCAGCCTCCCGCTCAAGCAGGAGAACCTATACCATCTCAGACAAGTGACTATCCAGTCTTTTCTTAAAAACCTCCAGTGATGGAGCGCCCACGATTTCCACTGGTTAATTGTCCTCACTGTTAGGAAGTTTCTCCTTAATTCCAGGTTATTTTGATCAGTTTCCAACCATTGTTTCTTGTCCTGCCCTCTGGTGCTTTGGAGAATAATTTGACCCCCTCTTCTTTGTGGCAGCCCCTCAAATACTGCTATCATGTCACCCCTATTTCTTCTTTTCTTTAGACTAGCCAAACCCAAGTCCTGCAGCTGTTCCTCATATATTTTAGTCTCCAGGCCTTTGATCATCTTAGTTGCTTTTCTCTGAACTTTTTCCAAATTCTCAACAACTTTTTTATAGTATGGTGACCAAAATTGGTTGCAGTATTCCAGGTGTAGTCTCACTAGTGTTTTATAAAGCAGTACTAATACTTCACATGATCTTGATTCTATGCCTCTGTTTATATAACCCAGGATTGTATTAGCTTTTTGGGCCACTGCTGCACACTGCTGGCTCATAGTCAAGTGATCGTCCACTAGGACTCCAAGGTCCCTCTCACAGTTACTGTTTTTGAGCCAGGTCTCATCTAATATGTACTTATATCTTTGATTTTTCCTGCCTAAATGTAAAACTTTGCTTTTCTCCACATTAAAACTAATTTTGTTGGATAGGGCCCATTGTTCAAGTTTGTCAAGATCTTTTTGAATCCTGAGCTTGTCTTCTGGGGTGTTGGCTATTCCTGCCAGTTTAATGTCATCTGCAAATTTGATGAGTTCCCCTTCTATTCCCTCATCTAAGTCATTTATGAAGATATTGAAGAGTACTGGGCCTAAGACGGAGCCTTGTGGTACCCCACTGCTTACTTCTCTCATGTGGATGTAGTACCATTGAGGACTACTCTTTGAGTACGGTTTGTCAGCCAGCTACAAATCCATCTGGTAGTGATGTTGTCTATTCCACCTTTTTCTAGCTTACCAAGCAGTAGATTGTGGTCTACTTTGTCAAATGCCTTACTGAAATATACGTATACTATATACTAAGTATACTATGTTTTGATGGACTTCCAGCCTTAAAAATGCCAGGAAACCATGTTTCACTTCTTTGTAATTATAATCAGAAAGGATTTCAGCAAGGGATAACTCCCTCCAGCAAAGTTTAGTTTAGAAGCTAAACAGGCTTGGGACTGGTTAATATTTGGAAGGGAGATTACTGGGGAATTCCACGTGTCCATTTAGGTACCTGGAGTCAAGCTCCAAAGTTAAGAGTTAGAAAACTTTGAAGGCCAGATGCAAAGGGACTTTTGAGGGCCACATAGTCTAAAACCTCAAGACATTCATCATTGACTTGAATTGATGTTGTCCTTTCTCTGTTGCATTTCATTTTCTGTAAGATCTTTAGTGTATACTGTTATCTCCTAGTTTTCCTCTGTAGGGAAAATTAAATTCTGTGAATGGCTTTTTCCGTCTCTTAAATGAATACAATAAGAAATATTTGTGAACGTATTAAATGAAGCATTGTCTGAAGACACTTCCATGGTCATGAAATGCTGTTATCTTCCCACCAAAGTGGTACTTATTAGTAATTATCTTACTGTGTTCCCCTTATTGGATGGTAATGTTTTATTTCCTTTACTTTCCAGTGGGATATGTCAGTTCTGCGATGTTACTCTTATAGGGTTGCCAGGTCTGCTTCCAAAAAATAGCGGACAAGCGGGGGGGGGGGTTTAAGTAGTTAAAAAAAGTAGACTGTACAGCTTTAGATTACGTACCATTTCATCATAAAGCTTTTGAATAAAAAAATGTCCACTATTTTGTGAAAAAAAATAGTGAATATAATGTGAAAAAAGTGGACTGTCCACTCAAATAGTGGACACCTGGCAACCCTATACTCTTATTATGCTGAGTGAGATATTGGTCTTAAAGTCCTAGTCCTACAGTGCTAGACTTAGAATTTATTGTTCATGTCTTTTCACATAGTCTGTTTTTTCCAGAAAATCCTGGTATTGTTCCAAAGAATGTTTTATAACACAGACTGTGCCAACCTTCTCTGCCAACTGAAGTAATTTTGATTTCTAGGCATCTTATTTCTCTTTTTTAGGATCACAAAGGCAGTCTCACTGGCAGTCAACTTAAAAGAAATATACATAATTTATAGGCTAGATTTCTTTAAATTGAATGACCCCAAAACTGAACTATGAAACACATTCTCTTCACTTTCCCTCCCTCATTAGATGAAATTTAACATCCCTACTTCTCTACATTCTAAATACATGATATGGCTTTTCTATATATATATATGTTGATGTTTAATTTTTAATATTTACCAGCTAATTAGAGAAACCTTTGTCCTTTTTTTCCTAAGCCAACTAATGACTTTTATGGAGTGCTAGACAGTGATTTTATACTGGAACTCTTTAATTGGGGCTTCAATTCCCAAATTCCTTAGCAATTGTGGGAGTCCAGACCTAGACACGAAGAAACATGGATTAGACAAGTGTATTATGGTTTGAGATTAACCCTTTCAACATCATCTTTCCCAGACCCGTCCTGCAAAAAAGCCATAGAAATTCAATAAGCGTAATCAGGAATCTAGTTTTATTCTTGTGCTAAATAGCTCAAAGTTGTTATATTTTTTACTGGGTAGAATGGAAAACATATACCAAACCCAAATGTCTTCAGCTTTTTTAGCCTTAAGATTTGGGCTATAATTCCTATTATCCATGAAAAGCATAGAGAATGGGGGTTAGTCTCTCAAACTTGCAGGACATTAGATATGAGAAAATTGGAGCAATATGACTTAAAACCAGCCAAAATTGCTCTGGAGAGTTAATTCTGGCTGTAGAAATCAACAAATCCTTGTGCTCATATATGACCAGTGCTTTGAGCAACTGAGTTATCTCTGAAATCCTTTGCCATGTAGCCAGATGGAGAGAATCACCTCTAAGCCAGGGGTGTCAAACTGCCGGCCTGCAGGCCGGATGCATCATAGCGAAACCGCGCCCACCCCATTGCCGGCAATGAAAAAAAAGTCGCGATATGTTGCAACACGTCATGTGACGTTGCGAGTTTGACACCCCGGCCCTAAGCCATCGGTGAGCATCATTTGTTATCCAGGGCTGCAGGATTAAAGGGTCACATCATATAGCAGATAGGGCAAAAGTATTAGGGCCACAGCCCGAAATGGATAAGGCCATCCATTTTCCTCTTTTTGGCATACTCTTCTTTCTCTCTTATTTTAGACATCTTTTTTTTCCTTGGGTGGCTGAGCAATGGAACAGATTGTTCTTGTTAGAAGTCTAAACAGAGACCAAAGTTTGCAGGTGGTTGTAAGGTCAGAAGCTACCCACTTCTGCCTTCAGCCATCTCTTTGCTTCATTTATTGTTCTTGAGATTGTTTGCCTTCTGCATTTCCCATTTTTGCATCCTGTTTTTATCAGATTTGCTAATACGTCCATAAATATAGTGAACTACTAAAGAAAGCATTTTTCCTGAGCTGCCAGCTCAGATGCGCCTCATTTAATCATGTGACAGGAAGTGTATAGTAATGTATCCCTCTTATTTTTGATTTAGCAGATTTTCAACAAATTGATTTCATGTTAGAAAATCTTTCCGTACTTTCACTGCTATCTATAGGACTTATGTAGCCATTCTTGGTTTTTTCAGTAAGCTTAATAAATACTAAACTGTGAAAGATTTCTGATTGCATCTTCTATTCTTTACAGGAAAGAAAGGAAAAAAGAGGGAAGTGAGTTCACAAGCATGTTGGTTTTCTCTTTATCCTTGACACTTTAAGACTTATGCAACTGCATGACTGTTTGCTTCACTCACTTACCAATTTTTAAAAAGTCAATTTCTGGGTCATGTCTGACATGGCATGGGCGCACATGCATGAATCTCCCAGGTCAATGAGTCCTGAGCTTTGTTTAATGACTTGTTCTCCTTCTGCCTAGGTGCATATAGGTTACCTTCCCAACAAACAAGTCCTTGGGCTCAGCAAGCTTGCAAGGTAAGAAAAACAAGTGGTGTGAGTTATTTAACTGCAGATAACCAAAGTTAAACTAGTATGGCATGGTTAAAAGCACTGGGCTGAAGAGCGGGAGGTGGTGAGTTTTAATCCTGCCTTAGGCACAAAGCCAGCTGGGTGACTTTGGGACAGTCACTTGTTTTAGCCCTAAGATAAAGATAATGGCGACAGCAACTCACTTCCAATGATGTTGCCCCCCAAAGTGCATGGTTTGTTCATATAGTCACCGGGAGTCTAGACTGGCTTGAAGGAGATAAAGATATAGAGATATAGAGGTAGAAATAAAATAAGGGAAATGACTCCCAGATTCATCTATATGCAAAATGTTGAGCAAGTTAATGCAGTTGTTCTTTACGTTCCAGTAAGCTCACCAGAAGAGAGGTTGAAGGGTCATAATGTAAAAGAGAGTGAGGAGGGATGGTGTTTTGGACCATCAGTGGCTGAAGATAGTTGATAGAGATGCTAAAAAAACCAAATCAAAATGGGTTCTGGGGAAGTGAAGAGCTGTAATTGTGGGGGTTTCAGATTTCAGCTCTATTAGAATTGTGAATTGAGGGCCAATACCTTTAAGGGCCACACATGGGAAAGCCCAACTCTTGTGTTTGATTCCCAAGATTGATAATAAAGTGCAAGTGGATACATTGCTGTTTTACCCTGGAGAAGAGGAATCCCTTCACCACATAGAGAAGCTTTGGATAGTCCCCCAGGCAGAAAATCCTTGGTTAGCACCTAGTTAAGGAAGAATCCCTGTGGGCGGGGGAGGGGGAGAGGTACATAAGAAGAATTTCATTCTTAAACTCCCTTCCAAAATGGGTATTGGTTCCATTTAATTTTGCAATATGGCCCTTAATATGCTACACAATACTGATGTGTCTTCAAGCCAATGGTGATCTATATATATATACAGTATCTGCCTAGATAGCCCATGCCAGTAGATGAAAATGATCGGAGTAATAATCATTAAAGAGTCAGTTTGATGCAGTGGTTAAAGGCTGCAGGCTAGAAACTGGTGGCTGTGAGTTCTGCTTCTGCCTTACACATAAAAATCAACTGTGTGATTTTGGGCCAATGACTATGATTTCATATCAGAGGTACCAGATATTTGAGGTTCATTAGAGGTACCAGAGCCTTACTAGTCTGTATGAAAATCCTTGAGAGAGTAACTTGTTTAAAGCCTTGGAAATGGTAGAGATAGAACTTTAACCCATCTATCCCAGATCTGATTTTTAACTTGGTCTGGGTAAACAGCTCCAGCTTACTTAGTTTGGTAATGAAACGTCTGCAAGGAAACCACCAAGCTCAGAGAGCACTAAAGACCCCACAGTCCAGCTGTATTGGTCCAGATATCTAAAATGGAGCTAAACTAACCATGCCTTCTTTTACCTTCTTGCTAAATATGTCATGATTAACACAAGCAGGAAGAGTTCTAATTAAAAAAANCAGGGATCAAGAACTATACAAGCATAAGCATTTCTTTTTTTCTTTTTGGAAATATTTATCTGTCTCATAAATATCACATAGCTTGGAGGCAAAACTACATTTTAATAGGAAAAAATGCCATTTTATTGGAAAATTAACTTCCCTAATGTTAACTACAAGACCTTAACTACAAGACCTATTTTTTCCCCATAACTATGATAGTTGGGTTGAGAGAAAGTGGCTGGTTCAAGGTCACACAGTGAGGTTTTGTGGCTGAAATGAACTACAACTGGGTCTCTTAGCTCCTAGTCCAACACCTTAACTACAAAGCCACCCTTAGATACAAATCCACCATTATAGAGTGAGCAGATTGTATACCTAGGTGGGTGATCAAGGAGGGAATAGGAACCCATTTGCTACAATTGCAAGAAACTTGGCAAGGGATTTTGCAGGTTCATTTTGCTGGTTGTGCATCTCCCGTCTCCTCTGATAAGATACAGACTTCTTCTGCAGAAGAAAAAGGGGCAGATTTAAGGACAATCTCAGATTCCTTTCTCAGATTGCAGCATAGAAAGGCCATTCTACAAGAGGCTAATCGATCTTATTTTTCCCCTATCCCTGTACACAATCATTTTGCATTAATAAGAAAAACAGAGGTTTCATTGTGACTTCCTCATAATCCCCATCTATTTGGAACCCAGATTTAATGTTCCAGTTGGATTCCTTGGGGGTGACAGTTTTTTACTCTTGAATAACAAGTTCTGGCCATCATAGATGCTGCAAGAAGCAAGTGCTTAGTGGCATTTCACTAAGCAACTATAGGTAGTCCTCAACTTATGACCAACATTGAGCCCAAAATTTATGTTCCTAAGTGAGACATTTGTTAAATGAGTTTTACCTCATTTTACAACCTTTCTTGCCATAGTTGTTAAGTGAATCACTTCAGTTGTTAAGTTAGTAACATGGTTGTTAAGTGAATCTGGATTCCCTATTGACTTTGCTTGTCAGAAGGTCACAAAAGGTGATCACCTGACCCCGGGACACTGCAGCCGTCGTAAATATGAGTTAGTTGACAAGCATCCGAATTTTGATCATGTAACCATGGGGATGCTGCAACAACAGTAAGTATGAAAAAAGGGTCGCAAGTCACTTTTTTTTAGTGCCATTGTAACTTCGCATGTCACTGAGTGAACTATTGTAAATCGAGGACTACCTGTAGATACTGTGCAAAGTTCAGATAACTGAAAATGAAACTAGGTGAGAAGCCGGTATAGGTAAATCTATCACTGAGTGTCTGTATATAGGTTACGCCTACAATTATTTTCATTTTAAACAATTGGGGATGATGCGATTGAGGAAGTGAAACTAGGGGAGGTAACACTTAACTTTTCCCAGCAATCTTTCCGCTAGCTAAAGTCCCTCTTTTGGCCCTGTTGAAAGAAAAGTCTTCATCGTGGTTCAGTCCAAGCTGGGAATAAACATGGTGACTGCTTTAGGAAGAAGGTTGCAGTTTATTGAGGAGATCCAGACAGAAAGATGGTTCTGGCAGAAAAGAGAGAAAAAAAGGGCTGAGCACATGTAGGGAGTGGGTTTTTATACCCTCTGGAGCCTTTTGTTTGGAGTTGCTTCCTGTTCCTGTTTTGAGGCTTTGTATTTCCTGTGTCATGTATTTTGACCTGTGTCTGGGTGTGCCCTTTGGCATATGTGGGTTAATCCTATTATGTCCTGTCTTAGACTTTGGGTGGGGTATGTAGATTGTAGGTGTCTTTGTCTTCTTAATCTTCTAGCTGGGGCTTCCAATCTTCCTGGATGGTTTACATCTGCATTTGTACAGAGCTAGTTTCTGCTTGGGGGAGGGAGACCTGGGGCTATTAAGAAAACTGGGCATGCTTTTCTGCCTCTTTAAGATCCTTTGAGGAAATATATTTTTCTGCCCTTTTAATATTTCCTTCTCTGTGGGGGGGGGGCTGACTTCCCACAGCCCCATACAGAAAAGTGTTTATGCACCTTTGAGATATGGAGGTACATTTTCCAGTCCAGGGCAACTAGTGGCTTTGAGGATAGTATGGAAATTTGGTTAGGAAACACCTGTTCAGAGAATGTTAAATATCCCCTTTCCCAGCTCTGGCCTTCTGGCTGTTTTATCATTCCCCTCCTGTTGCTTTAAGCCAGAAGTGTCAAACTGCCAGCCCACGGGCCAGATGCATCATAGTGAAACTGTGCCCACACCATTGCCAGCAATGGCAAAAAAAGTTGTGATACGTCGCGACACGTCACATGACGTTACGAGTTTGACACCCCTACTTTAAGCTAAACAGTCTATTATTTGATTAAAGTAAAAGTTGGCAGGAGAGAATGCATACAAACTATATGTAAAGGGGTGGGTTTGCACGACACTAGAAGTTAGGTTAAAATGAGGTTGGGTAATTTGTGACCCTGGGATTATAACCATTGTCGCAACATGCTGAATAAACCAAACTAGCAAGCCAAGCCATAGTGTGGTTTATCTGGGCAATACTGGTAATATGATATGTGATTACAGGAACGGTATTTTATTAACCCAGAGTTAAGAGTTTAGGATATTGCATGAACTCTTATCTCTGGGGCGATAATTGTGAAACAGACTGAAAGCGCACTGGATTTATATATGTAAATTTGCACTTCATGTAGTTCAGCAGCATTTCCATCTTGAACTTTGCTTTCTTCTCTTGCACGGAGTAGCAGAAGGAGGAGGGCACACAGGGAACTAGATGGCTCTTAGTAGGAACCAATCTGCTAAACCTGGATAGCTTCCTCTCCCCCACATCTTGTTTTTTGATTGAGGAAATGGTAATGAAAAGAGCAAAGATCATATTAGGAGGAAATGAGCAGCACATTCTACCAAGCCTTTATAGGACTGATGCAAGTTTATTTTTATTGATTTATTTCTCTATCAAATTGCATGCCACCAATTTCATTTTTATTCAGGGTTGTCGCATCCTCAGAGTGAAATTGTAGAGCTCACAAAATCATGAGAAAGGAACTAGAGTACCCCCCCCCCTCTGAAGGAGTATGACATTCTTTGGTGATTTTAAAGCTTCCAGCAAATTAAAGTGCAGTTGTACAACAATGACAGCAGCAATCATAATAATTAATAGTGCTTATTAAATTTATATGCTGCCTGACTCCCAGTCACTCTGAGCAGTTTACAAATTTGTGAACTTGTAAAAATTTGTAAAACATGTTAGAGGCATGTGCAAATTGCATATGGAGAAAAGGGATATATGGAGAAACATGTTATCAGGAAAAGAAATTCTCCTCATTTTTTCTATCAGTTGTTTTTGGAATCAGCTCTGGAACTTCTTTCCAAACAAAGAGGATTTTGGACAAATTATTAGAAAAAATGCTGTTCTTAGACTTACAGAATGATGAGGTAGCCAAGCAATATGTGTGAATGTCCCATTTTACATGAAACAATCCTCTCCTCAGTTGCTTACTGCCTCTCAACTTACTGTGTGGATTATGAGGAATTCCTTTTCTGGTTGTTTTCAGTAGAACTGCTGAGATGAAGTCCTATTTCTTGAGAATTTTTCTGCCCATAAATTAAATAGACAATTTCAAAAAGCCATATCTCCCCAAAGACTGGAAGATATGGAAGAATTGTTGGGTTGGTTGGCAGAATTGACTGACAGCATATTTGGAGGAAGCAAAACAGTAATATAAATAAATATATGAAATTGACTACTACAAATTGGGGTGACAGCTGGTGATTTTGGCTGCATCTGCGTTAGCTCAGGGAACTAACTCTGGTTAGTTTAATTAGTTTAATTGTCAACTCATTGACAATTAAATTCCATAGACATGCTTGATCCCCACCTGCAAGGTCAGGCAGTTCATTTATTAATCTACCTACCACTTCCTGATTGTTGTTGTTATTTTTCTGTAGCTTAAAAAAAGTCTACAATAAACACAACAGACAAAATGTCCAGCTGGATATCCCTTTTATATTATGAACAAGATGAAGTTCTTAGATATGCATTCAATTATTTAATATTTTATGCTTAAAGTAGTGATTGTGTTATAAAAATGACATCAGTTTGACTTGAACGATGCTACGATGCCCTTTTACAAATGGTAAATCAATGCAAATCATACAATTTTGGATTTGATGAACATTAGGAAGTAATGAACCATTAAAGGAGTTTATTGTATTGAGAAAAAAAAACACAGTAACCCAAACAAGCTAGTGAGCTATACACATGGACTTCGGTTAACAGAATCTTCTTCTTCTTGAGCCTTAATCCTGTTTTGTTTTTTACTTTTTGTAATGTGGGCAGAGTTGGTGAAAAGGCTACTGGAGTTGTTGGAAGACTGCAGTCATTGTCCATCTTGGCGTTTGTATTAGCTATCTGTATCTGTCCTTGGTAGAACGGTAGCAATAAGGGTTCCTAGATCACACTATGGTTATATATATATATATATATAATAGAAAGAATGAGCTACAATGCACAGTTATCACCATATTGTTAAGATGATCTTGGACTGTATTGGCTGATCCAACCAGGCTGCCTTTAGGTAGTCCTTGACTTATGATAATTGAGAATGAAACATCCATCATTAAGCAATAAGGTTTTAAGTGAGTTGCACTATTGTTAAGCAAACCATACAGTTGTTAAACAAATCCAGCTATCCTTATTGATCCATAATCCAGCTTGTCCACCCCAAGGATAAAACAACCAGACACAAACTGAGCAGCGTGGTATATACAGTACAGTGCACTACTCAGGTGATCCTGATGAAACAGATAAGCCTCCAGCGGCTTCAACGACTTGCTAAAAGAATGCAAATAACCAGCTGTCTGCAAGGAGTATAAATCCTGCCATTCCCCACCATCCAATCAGAGCTGAAGAAGCTTCTTGGATGAGAAGCGAAACGTTGCCAAAGAAAAACAAGAAAATCCAGTTGCCTCGTGAAAAAAGCACCTTTGGGACTACCCTTACTGACTTTGCTTGCTGGTAACCCTTGGCAAGGTTGGAAGTGGTGATCAAATGACCCCAGAATGTTGCAACCATTGTAAACACATGCCTGTTGCGAAGCACTTGAATTTTGATCATGTGATCTGTTGAAGGTCTGTTGCTTCTTACATCAATGGAAACCTTCCGGCACTCTGACATTTGTGATTCGCTTACCTCACATCTATTGACTTACACAAGGGCTGCTTGTGTAATAATTGGCATCTTTTATCTGCCTGTGTTAGTAAATGTTGAAAACATTATATGGTGCCTCATCCATCTTAATTTGTTTTTCATGGGGGGGTAGATTTATTTGAAACCTGTTATCAGCCTTTTGTTTTTGATGGCATTGGCAGGACAAATCAGTGGATTAGTATTGCTAGGGTGGCCCCCCAATTATCTCTAAATTGTAGCAGCAGAGCAAGGACTTTAATCTTGATTTGTCATTCACATCTGATGATTTTCTTTCTGTCTGTGAATCATGGCAAGCATCATTTTCTTTCCCTGCCTTACAAATCAATACATTGCTGAAGTTAAATGGTAAAGGATGTTGAATTTCTGTGAGGAGCTGCTTCTTATGTTATATCAGTGGAGGAGGCTAGACCCTTGCATAGAAAGAAGGTTTGTACTTATTCTGTTGCCAAAAAAGTAGAAACTTTATCTCTAAACTGAGAAGATAAGATTTGCATTCAATTTGCATTTAGAAACTATTGCTTTGATTTTATTAGCAATATGTCTTACCAAACTGAGAAAAACATGTTGAAATAATCTTGCACCTTGTGCTCAGCTGCAGTCTAGGGATTGCGACCTATTGATAAGCAATTTTGTTAACTTTTCTCAAGATAATTTGGACAGCGCACCCTTGAAATTGAGGACCATCTTGTATAAAGTTTGACAGATGGCCATCCAGATTTTGTCGCTTTTGGTATTTCATTAAATGTTATTAATCTTTATACATCAGTAGCTTTTTGCAAGAATGTGCTTTTTCTTGGTGTGATGAAACTCAAGAATGAAATACAAGAATTGAAGAGTATAAGTTATAGAATAGGAACAGACCAGAGAGTGACACTGTGTGCAAAGAAGTGTACATAGGTATTGAGGTCCCGAAGTATTTCAATAGGGACAAACGCGAAGCGCTTAATTAATCCGGGGCATAAAATAGGTTGGTGGAGATTTTATTCAGTTACATGTGAAAGGCATCTGAGTAACTTCACACTTCATAAGCATTACACAAGCTAATAGTGTGACCCAGCTGCAAAAGAAGCAGAAGCAACACTAGGCTACATCAACAAATATAATATCAAGATGAAGAGAAGTTATTATTTTTATCTATTCAGTATTAGTAAGTCTGCTTCTAGAATATTGTATTCAGTTCTGGATGCTGTATTTTAGAAAGGATATTGATAAACTGGAATGTATCCAGAGGGCAGCAACTATGGTAAGAAAAACTTATGGGAATGTTTGGAAGCATTGGGTATATTTAGCACAGAGAAGGGAAGACTGTAGGGAGCCATGATATCCGTAATGGGTATCTTCCTAACATCTAAAGGGCTGTAGAAAATAGGACAGCATTATTCTGAGAAATTTCTACCACCAAGCAACTGAAGCCTGGTGGCAACTAGTTGGTAGAAATCTAGAGCAAAGCAGTTTTCTCTCCAAACCCAGTTGTTAAGAACTGCTTTTTTGAAAGCCTTGTTTTGCTAGATTGGCAAGTAAGCTAGAAGAGATTGCTCCAGAAGTAAACTTGGCCAACCCACTAAGGAGCACTTCTTACTATGGCTGTTGGCCAAACATAATCTGCCAGATCAAGAAAGCCAATTGTATTTACTGTATTTCACAGGCGGACTGAAGCATGACCTTAATTCTTCTATTACAAGAATCAGGGCTTAGAAGAGCTTATGTCTGGGAGCGTCACATCCCATGTTGAGACTTGCATGGCCAGTTCTGTCATTCTGTCTCAGGAATACTTTATTATTAGATCCCTTGTGCTAAAATTTCTCATGACAACGATAGTGTAGTTTGCAAATTTTCAAAAAAGTGTGAAAATTAGCACAACAGCATCCTGCCCATGCCATTTGTTTAAGCAGTTAACCGTGAAAAGGATTGCTTATATATCTTCCTGTTTTTTGGATCACCCCAGGATCTCTCTGTGCAAAGGCCTGGTTGCCAACAGGCAAATGCAGGCTGGATTCTGGCAGATCAAAGAGGCTGAATTGGTGATTGGAGTGGCCTCGTAGAGATTTCCATCTTAAGAAGTACATTTCAAAACTACAGGGCCAGAACATCTATTGAATACTGTTATAGAGCAGAATAGGGGGCTCATCCTGTGTTGCTAAACCCTGCAAGTGATACAGTGATGAAAGAAGATGCTAGAAAAGTGAAGGGTTACATCCCTGAATTAAAATATATTGTCGAAGACCAGGGCTTCCTTAACCTGGATAAATTACCCAAAATTGAGTAAATGTATTTTTCTTTTCCTTTTGGGTAATGATACACAAATCCATACCCATCACAACAGGGACATATAAATTGACTTAAAGATTGCCATGTGTGCTAAAATATATTCAAAATACTTCCCAATTATTCCTATTAAGACAAAAAAAATGAACTTATCAATAGTAATTTCTTGAAATGACATAAAGATCCCTCAGTGATATTGTTTTTATAATTCAGAGAGTCCTCTAGTTGCAACCATTCGTACAGTATCCATTTGAAGTTCCGACAGTGCTTGAAGGAAGGGACTTACAACTGGTCCTCAAAGTTCAATAAGGTTTTATTATATGTGGGTTTGGGTAATAAAAGAAAACGATTGGGAAGTACCTTCCTAGACATATCATTGTTTCCAGAGTAATCTTAATTGAATGCATTTTTTTCTTCTAGGATTGTGGAAATATATAGTAGACGATTACAAGGCAAGTAACAACCTTTGGTGCTTCACCCAGTGAAATGTATGTTTTGCCATTCTAGTAGAATTTGTCATGCAATATCAAAAGACTATTAATCACCTGTGGCAATAAAAATAGAAGGCATGAATGTGCTGTGGAACAATTTATTATATCTCATTACACAGGAAGTTCCGTAGTCATGGAGTTCATTTGTTCGTTCGTTCGTTCGTTCATTTGTTCGTTCGTTCGTTCGTTCATTCATTCATTCAGCCATCTATTTCAAGAAGTTACTTTGGACAGCAAACAATAACAAAGAGAATAAGAACCATGATAGATTATCAGCATGTTCATCAGTGAGAAGCATTTAGCCTACCCTACTTTCTGTTTGGAAGGATTTGTAAATATACATTATCTACAGAAATATATATTTTGACTTGATAATATGGCCAGCCAATAAATATGTTCCTCTGCATTTCATAATCCATAATTATACAAGCAGAGTAAACTCTGATGGGGAGACCTGAACAGAAGCCTGCTGCCCCACCTCTCACCACAAGGTGGCTCTGCATCCTCCAGGTCCAGTATCTTCTTCTGCTTAGCATTGCAGGGCCCCCTGTCTCCAGATGTAGGTAGTCCTTAGCTTACGACCGATCCCTTAACAACTGTTTGGCATTACGACAGACGTGGAATGGATGCTTTATGGCCCGTAAAGCACTTCTGGCTGTTGTAAGATGTGCCACCACCATCCACCCAATCATGTGACCACATTGCAGGTGCTTGGCTCACCTTTATAACTGGCTGCAGTGTGCCATGGTCACACGCCGACAACTCTAATGCCTACTTGGAGGAATGGGTTTGCACTTACAGCAATGGATTCACTTAACAACCACAGTGAAGCGCTTAATGACTGCAGCATAAAATTGAGTCTTGTGTGTAGGTGCCTCAACTTACTACCGTCACGTACGACTTTAAAGCCTGTCCCGGTTGCAGTTGTAAGTCAAGGACTGGGCTGTGGTTTCGCATAGGCAGAAGTCAGCACCTGCTTTTCCAAGGAGCCGGTGGAAAAGACTTGCTTCCTATCTGGACTCTGATGGATTTCCTTCCATTAAGGAGACTTCCAGCACTTTCTTCATCAGTAGACTTTGTGGGCCGTGAAAATATGATTAAAACTTACAATTTTTAATGAGCTGTGGCTTTAAGAAACTCTCTCCTGAACAGCATATTCATTTTTCTTCTTCTCCTTTTCATTGCAGTTCAGGAGCGCCTTACAAAACAAATTGCTGTTGCCATCACAGAAGCCTTGCAGCCTGCTGGAGTTGGGGTGGTGATTGAGGCAACGTAAGTTGATGGAAATTTTGTGATGTGTCGAAAGAATGAAGGAATTCAAGTGGTGGGGGGAGGGGGAGGGAGGGAGGGAGGGAGAAAGAGAGAGAGAGAGAGAGAGAGAGAGAGAGAGCGCATTCGCTGTTCAATTTCTTTACAGATAGTTCTTGACTTACAACCATTTGTTTAGTGACGGGTCTAAGTTACAACGACATGAAAAAGTAACTGCTTTTCACACATCTGTTGCAATTTCACCACAGTCATGTGATCAAAATTTGGATGCTTGTCAACTGGCATGTATTTATGATAGTTGCAGTGTTCCAGAGTCATGTGATCACCTTTTGTGACCTTCTGACAAACATAGTCAATGGGGAAGGCAGATTCACTTAACAAGCATGTTACTAATTTAACAACTGCAATGATTCACTAAACAACTGTGACAAGAAAGGTTGTAAAACGGGGCACAACTCAATTGTCTTGCTTAGCAACTGAAATTTTGGGCTCAATTGTTGGCTTAAGTTGAGGACTACATATAATTCTCTCTATATATACTTATCTCTCTCTCTGTCTCTATCAATCATCGATCTATCTATCTATCTATCTATCTATCTATCTATCTATCTATCTATCTATCTATCTATCTATCTATCATCTATCATCTATATCATCTATCAGTATATAGTTTCCTCACCTCAATTAATGCCATGGTTCAGTCATCAGCAAAAGAGTGCATGAGAGTGAAAATATGGGGGGCTTGATTTTTTTTAAAAAAAAAGATTGGCAAGCCATTATACTAAAATTAAGATCAGATTGGATTTCAATTGTACAGCTAAGCGTTTCCATCCTACTCCTGCTGTTTTTTGCAGCAGAAAGAGACAGGCTATTTTCTTTCAGCAAAAATATTTCTATTGGATTTTTCCCCCCTGTCTTTCCTTCCTGCAGGCACATGTGTATGGTGATGCGAGGGGTTCAGAAAATGAACAGTAAGACTGTAACCAGCACCATGCTTGGAGTATTCAGAGAAGACCCAAAGACTCGTGAAGAATTTTTGGCCCTCATCCGTAGCTAAAACCGTGCCATCTATCTTCCTTCCTGGACTGTCTTCTCTAGCATTGATGTTGATTCTTTTGCTGTTTGTGTTGGTCCTTCTCTTTTTGAAAAAGTAACAGTCACTTTAACATTTCTGAAGTTCTACTGTGCTGGTGGTAAGATCAACATGTACTTTCTTTGTTCATATGGTTCCTTATGTCATTGGACCATAAAGATCCTGGAAATATTTTCTCAATCTATGTTATGTGACTGTTTTAAGGCAAATATGCAGTGGCTATGTGTTTTTGTGTGGGCTTAGTCGGGTTGTTCTTGTCAAAGTCATCTGAAGTGTTTGAAGGACATATCCCCACTGAGACAGAGAAACCCTTTGCCCTAATGTCCAGCAAATTTCTCCATTCATTTCCAAGGTCAAGAAAGATGGACAAAGGAATCAGAGGCTTTTTCATAGTCTAGAGGTTAAAGAGAGGGCACTACTTCCTTACTACCTGATCTTTTCTTTTACAGAGAATGATTGAGCCATACTTTCATCCCCCCAAATTAAGGGGTTGATCATTCATTCATTCATTCATTCATTCATTCATTCATTCATTCATTCATTCATTCATTCATTCCTGTCCCTTGTTTAAGAGCAACTTGTACCACCACTTCTTCAGCCCTCTGTTTTGTACTTCTGTTGCAGCTAGCCCAATTCTTCACTTTTGCAATCTCTTTTACTTCTTTCAAATGAGTTTGGCCCCACCATTTCCTCAGGTGGATGAGCTTCTGTTGCCTTTGCTCAGATGTCTCTCCAATCCCAGGCAAGTAGAAGTCAACTCCTTCTATCAATTTCCAATGATGAAATGAGAATTATGGGCCTTCTCAGAGAGGGAAGGAAAATCTGGACATGGTTAGATTATTGTGTTCATTACTGATATAATAGGATTTTTTTGTTCTGAAAGACCCAGAGTCTGAAATCTTGAGATACTCATGTTAATCTCATCATAATGCAGGAAACTGGGTAGCAACTGCTTTTCTTGGAAAGGAGTTGTTTAAACAAAAGAGATTTGGCAAAAACTCTGGCACTGAAGAGAAAAAAATAAGTCATAGGTTTGCCTGGAGTTTATTTCACTAATGGGACAAGATACAAAACAAATTCCTTTTGAGGCAATGGGAGCAGAACTACAGGTGTGAACAAACCCAGCCCTCCTGCATAAACTGGGTCTACGTTTCCAGGCTTGTTAGGAATTCTGGGAATTATAGTTTCAACACATTTGGAAGACAAGATGGGCTGTCCTCAGGCGTCCAGTACTGATTACATTTTGATAGGATTGGAGCATGGTATTTTTCACTTATATGAAACTGATTTAGATGTTCTCTTTAGTAAACTATAGTAAATTTTTATCACATGATTTCTGTTCAATGAAGGCTATGATTATACTCTGGACACTATAACATGGTTTATATTCTATATTGCACTATTTTCAAGACTTGCATTCAAGTAAGAACGATTTAAGTTACTTCTTGGATGTCAGCCCTACATTGTTTACAACGTGGTGCCAATTTCAGACCTCCTCCAGCCTGAGATTCTGCATCTTTGCTATAACAAGCCTTGACAGGAACATTTTGAACAGAATCAGTTTTCAAACTAATATGAAATAAAGAATATCTGGAGGCTGTATTTAGCAGCCAATTCCTTATTTGTCTTCAGTTTTTCTATTTGTCTTTTTACTGTATCCTGTTCAGAAGTGAGTTTGTAAGCTAAAACTATGTGGAGGAGAACACAAGGATCTCTGGTAAAATACAGAGTTTTGCCTTCCTGATCCCCTCCTGGGTACTGGATAATATTATAGACTCTGTTTCCTTGGCAGAGTTAGCAACTGCTCTCTCCTCCTGTGGCCCTTGGCAAGTTCCCATCATCGGGAGGGGAAAGCAGACGTTTAGATTACGAAGCAGACAGTCTGCACAGCTCTAGTGGGTTCTGGTTGTTTGTGTGAAGGACTTTGAAGGATCTGCCTCAACTCAGTTCTGCCCATAAAAATGCCAAAATGCTCAGCTGAATTCAGCCTTACCAAATCAACATCCAGAATTTCATGTTCTTAGACAACTTGCATAATGTAATTTGCTCAGTCATAGTAGGAGAGAAGGAGCTGTGCGTGGCACAGAGCTCCTTATTTCCAGATATTTTGTTCATTGTCCCTTTGGGGTTTGGTTTCATCCACTGCTTAGTTTGCAAGTATTTCTTTGTTGCATTAACTCAAATTCTCCTGGAGCCGACTTCAACATGCAGTTCTTAAATGGGTTACTGTTGGATCCATGGCAGGATACCCAGATATAGCATGCAGAAACTCCAGCCAATGATGCCTTTCTAACAAATGCTGCCTTCTAGGGAATTGGGCAGTATTTCACTTCCACACTTCAATTTTAGGCATCTTTCTAACCCAGGATGGGCAACCTACAGTTGCAGACACCTGATTTCTGTTTATGATTCTCGGAGCTTCCTGGCCATGATGGTTAAATGTGAAGGCCAAGTCTCCTGCAGTTTGATACAGGATACATGAAAACTGCTACTATACAAGCTCTAAAATAGGCGATATTGCTATAACCACACCCCCATCCACCTCACTCTTACATGATATAGACCCACTCTCTTTTTGCTCCTACGCCCCATCTCAGTCATAAATGCAATATTGGACAGCAGAGTTGTCCACTTCTGAAATAGGTATTTAGTTCTTGTTTTGAGCAGTTTCTTCCTTCGCCCTACAGTCCTCAGCAGACGAGAGATTGAGAAAGGCTCACACATGGGAGTTGTGAGCATAGTTTCTACAAATATGTTTTGTGGTGTCCAAAGTAGGTCAAGCTCTCTTCCCTCTTGTGTAACTGGAATGTCATGAAAAGCTGCTTACTGGAACTGATCTCAATAATTGCCTTCTGAATGGAAAACGTATTAAGAAAGTTTTACAACCACTCTAATTAGACAAAGATGGGATCAGACCCACGCCTACTTTATGTGAGATGCTCATTTCACTTTGTCCATTGGGCAAAGCTGCCTTTTTAGCTGGACCTGGTTGAAATAAGAATGAGGCGCTGCTGTCTTGCCATTTTGATTGTTGGCTTTTTGGATTAGCTACCATGGAAAGCAAGGATGAAGCAGCAGCATTGGTGGAGGAGGCGTGAGTCAAAAACTGCATGATGGCAGATGTAGTATCACAATCCAAACCTTGCTGCTTTTGCATATGGATCGGTACATTCACGTACAAAATGGCAAAGACCTTGCAGATGTTGTCACCAGTGGTCACTGCTGGGAAGGTGGACAGAATTTTGCAACATTGGCAGAACCAATATTTAAGGATTTTTTTGGGGGGGGGAATTGGCTGATGGGAGGGGGGTTGAGGCCAATGCAGAGGTTTAAATTATCCCTTGCATCCTTTGAAACTATGATTATCTTAGAATCCAGCCAATGTCCCTATTTTGGAGAAAGCTTTAAAAGGCAAAACGGATGCTGTAAGACTTTCCTTCTTAATTTGCCAATTCCCCCAAATCATGAAAAAAAATCCACCATAGACTCTGGTGAGGTTACATCATTAACCAAATTCCCTATGGTCACCAGTGATGGTAGGACATTAGAGCATAATTCCCAGGTTGCCCATCCTTGGACTAGGCCGATGCTTTGGATTAATCCAACAAAGGCTCTGTTTAATTTTCTTGCGGATCAGTCCCAGGAATATGTAGAGATTTGCAGAAATTTTCACCAATTTTCTTTGTTTTGCCTTTCTTCCAACAACCACATCTGGGTTTTCCTCATTTTATTATCTGGGAGATTAAAAGCAACTTCCCGGCTTGACTAAAGTTTTGAGCCTAAACATCTCTGATTTGTACACTACGTCCCTCTAGTCTAGGTTATTTTACAAATTGCACTCTAATGTCTCAAAAGCCTAAAATTGCCCTGTGAAAGTTGGGAGAAAGTGACTTGATCAGTCTGAAAAGTTCAAGTCATTGCACCTGTGCTTGAAACAGGAAGAGGAAATAGCTGTATCCAACTAGGGGTAGGCAACCTCGGCTCTTTTATGACTCGTGGACTTCAACTCCCAGAATCCCTGAGGCAGCATAGCTGGCTCAGGAATTCTGGGAGTTGAAATCCACGAGTCATAAAAGAGCCGAGGTTGCCTACCCCTGAACTAGTCTCTCCCTCCCTCCCTCTCTCTCTCTCTCTCCATCAATCCTTCCGACATACCTCTTAACTGGTACCTGGATGCATCCTTAATACCACTATTTCCTCTCTTGCATAGTTTGAAAGTGCATGAGGGATGTAAAGAAGTCGATTTCCATTCCTTTTCCTGGAAGAAAGGAAATTCCAAGTGGCTTGTTCTCTTTGTGGCCTTAATGTATTGAGATCCTTTGGCTCAGTGAATCTTATTTATAATTTTTGTGAAGTCTCTCTTGTCCCTTACTGTCCTCATACTGCCAAACTTATGTATGTTCATGTAAGTATGTGTTTATCCAAATATGTATATGTACATGTATGTAAATCATATGCAATTTGCTGTTGTGTCCCTTCAAATTCTGGCCTATTTATAGTATTAAAATGCAGTGTTGATCACTTTCAAAGATAGTCCTCTGTGTAATTTGTGAACGCATTGCTCTCTTTTACTTGCTGAATACTGTGGCACATGGGTTTTGTGGCCAGACTGGTGTGGTGTGGTGGTGTGGGTCAGCAGAAGGAGAGAAGGCAACATGGGGAGTGAGGGGTCCTTGGTGCATGCTGAGTTTGGTTGTTTTGTAGACGTTTCAGTACCCAAACTAGATAACATCATCAGTGCTAGTAAGAAATGGGTTTTGTTCTCAGTTTATATTTAGTGACTTACCCTTCAGTGTTGGTGGGGACGGTCTTGAGGTTCTTTGATCAACACTGACTGAGCAAGCCACTAGAATGTAAAGTAAGAGCAAACTCCTCAGTTGCTGGAGGAGGTTGCTGGTTTGAGCCATAAAGGAGAGAGAGGAAGAAGTACAGAGAAACGTGTTTGAGTCTGTGCTGCTTTGAGGTATGGAGGTAAAAAGTGTATTTGGAGATACCTGGGTGGGTGACTGGCAAGAGACTGCTGGTGTACGCTAGTGTTGGGTGGAGATTCCCAGTCTCAGAGGAAGAAGAAATCAGCTGGAGGCTTCCTTGGGAGGAGGGCAGTGAAGACCCAGACATGC